TTCGGGCATTGGGCCGAGAAGAGCAGGTATTGCGCCAAGGATATCGGAGTTGCAGAGTCAATTGACCGATTGGGCAATAGGCCGCAAGAGAGGACGATGCGCCGAAGAATCAGACGAAGCGTCGAGGGACCAATGACATGCCAAACAACTTGATTAATTACTTATGATTAATTGTCTAGATCGAAGTGTGTTTTACATGTGTAGGATTAACTACGATAGCAAGAAATGAAGCAAAATGAAGTCCTAGAGTTAAAATTGAGATCACATTGGGAGTTCGAGAGTTCGTCGGAAGTCCGAACGTTCGTCGGAAATTCTACAGGAACCAACCGAGAAGTCACGGAGCTTGCTAGAGAAGCTCGTCGGAACTCGCCAAGAAGATCATCGTGAAGTCAAGGAGCTTGCTGGGAGTCCGCCAGAACATTGTTGAGAGTTCGTCGGAGGTTCGCTGGAAGCTCGCCAGAAGAATTGACATAGGGATTTGTTTAGCTTAGAATATGTCTTAGGAATCATAATTAGTACGTAATTGGGATTAGATTTGGGCCAACCCAATTAGGGGCCAGCTAGGCCCATGTAAGAACTGTGTTGGGCCCAATAAGAGGCCCAAACAGTACCTCAAGAAGACTCACCGTCGTGGTACAATCTTCGAGATTGTATCAGGCGGTACTACCCAACGTAGGCAGTGGTACTGCCCGTGCTCGGGGAACCCGAGATGGGAGAGTTTTAGGCTCCAAGTTTGAATCAACTTGAAGCCTATAAATACCCTTCTCATCTCTAATTAAAGACAACAAGCATAGAGAGTTTAAAAGTGAAGAATTGCTACTGCAATCTCTTGAGAAATCTCTCCTCTAGCTTAAACTTTAAACGTAGATTTCTGTTTAGAGAGGAGTGAGTGAGTACTTGTAAGGGTTATCTCCTAAACCCGGTAAAAAGAGAAGAGGAGTGTAAAAGGTGATTGACCTTCACCTATTGAAGGAAGGCCTCTAGTGAACGTCGATGACCTCGTTAGAGGAGGAAGCCGAAAGCGGATGTAAGTCACGTTTGACCCAACCACTCTAAAACTCTGGTTTACATTTACTTATTACTATTATCTTACTACAAACCCCTTCAATAGTTTACTGCCTTCAATACTTTTCCGTACGCTTTCAATCTAAGCATATTTTTGGAATCGATTTTCAACGTACGAAGAAATTTCTTAAACCGAGTTATTTTACCACTGCACTAATTCACCCTCCCTCTTAGCCGACCCTGATCCTAACAGAAGCCACAATAAATACAATAATTATCTTTAGAATATGAACATATTATCATAAATTATAGTATTTTACTATAATAAAACACACAAAACTAGGCTAGTATATAGACTTGTCGACTATATTATCCAAAATGTGTATAAGCTAGAATTCCAACATATCCAAAGAAAAGATGATAAAATATCTGAGTTCCTAAGTAAAGAATTAATAAACCAATAAGAAACCATATTTGCTACCCATAATCAGTCCAAAGGTTTGTTCAACAAAATTTAAAATACTATATATTCGTATGCAAAAGAAACATTTCTATTTGGTGTGAAGTAGAAACAGAAGAAAACAGAGAGGCATGATCAGTGAACTGAGAAATCAATAGAATTTGGAATCCAGATAGAAAAATCAAATAGAATATTTTTTATTTTAAATTAAAAAACGATAAATGAAAACTTATACTATGATAAGAAAAAGAATGAAAGAGAGTATTTTTTATATATGTGATATTTGTAAAAGTAAATTACATAAACAGTCAAAGAAACCATAGAAATAAAAGAAATACATGTAGGACTAAAATATTTACGTCTAAATCAAAATTTTGAAAACAAAGAATATCTTATGTGGGATAAACATAATAGTAAATTATTTTTATGACAAAGAAAAATAATAAACTATGTTATAACTCTATTTTTTAAGAAGACAAAAATGACCTCCCAAGGGTTCAAATCATTCAAAATTAGCTTTCTTTCACTAAAGGAAAAGTAATAATAAATAAAAATTTTAATTATCCATATTTTAGTCAGTATAGATCAATTATAATGTGTTTGCATAAATTAGCCATAAGAATGAGCACATATGGTAACAAACTTACAAAAGAAGAACATTGCATAAATATAGATCTTAGCCAAAGTTACCCTACAGAGGATGTCTAAGAGAAAATGATCAATGTGACCTTAAAGTTTGTAAAAGAATTTAGAGTAAAAAAGACTACCATTTATATATGAGAGATAGCAAGAAAAGGGGCATGAAAGAAATTTTATAGTATCAATAAGAATTACATGAATTATCATTTTTAAAAGATAGAAACCCCTCTAGCAGTAACAATAATGTCATGGTCTCAAATAATAACCCAAATAATACCAAAGCCATTATGTCAATCCGGACTATAAAGACATGATCATAATAGATTATTTTGATATCAGAAATTTAAAAGTCAGGTATTCGTATTGATACAATGAGTTGGAGCATGCTTAAAGAAGAAAATCTATATCATATTATCTTAAAAGAGAATTAGTTGAAGAAATAAACTTTTCATATGGGTGTATATATATATATATATATATATTTATTTATTTATTTATTTATTTATTTATTGTAATGATGGAGAACACTGCAAGAAGCTGTTGGTCCCTACAAACAACTACTAGAATAATATGTTTTCAATTTAACTACTAAAAAAATAAAATAAGGTTAATAATATGTTAATAATCAAAATAAGTCTATTTTTTTGCAGCAAAAAATCTAAACAAAATTAATTTAATTTACCTTGCGACTAAGCCACACGGCTGAGGAAGAAGCTTCGCCGGATGCTGGTGAAGTCGTCGAGGGCCGGAGAGCGCGCGATAGCCGCCGGGTCACTGGTGGGTCACTCGGGGTGGAGAGCACGACGGCAGAGGGGGGCTCGGGGCGGAGGGCCCGACAGCGCGACTATGCCAGAGGCTTCATCGGTGACGCAGGTGGGCCACCGAAGTGCGGGGGGCAGAGGATGCTGACGGGACACCGGTGGACGCGCCGTAGGTGGGGCAGGGCCCGCCTCTTCCACAGGTGGGGCGGGGGCAGAGGCTTCGGCGTTGAGTAAGAAGGGAAGCCGATGAAGCAGAAAGGTCGGTCGGGGCAGCTCAAGACGCAGGTGGGGTATTGAACGCCGACGATCCATTCGTAAAAGGGAAGAAATCCTCCTGAATCCATGAGGAAGAAGGATTCCAGAGGTTTCAAGAGGCCTTCGCAGTCCGCTCGCGCTGAGGAATCCGACTCGCCGTGCTGTGTATCCATCAAAATTACGATTGAACACGTGTCCGACATGTGTTCGATCGAGTCGATGACGAATTCGTGTCCGACACATGTCGAACACGGCTATGCCACTGAAACTGCCATGTCCGAGCTTCCCACGAATGAATCGTCTTTTGAGCAAGGAAAGTCTTGTCAATTCTAACATCTCCTCGAGCAACCACGAAAGAATCGGTCTCCTTCAAAATTTGATCCAAGTTCATTACACCCTCCTGGTTCTCAACCTATGCGCACAAACAACAACAACAAAAAGGTAAAGATTGTTAAGGTTTTTGAAGAAAAAGTAAAAAATCATCTACAGCGAACAAAAATTCGCCACTGGACTAAAAATATCTGCATCATTAGTTTAAGCATCCCTAAATATGATCTCAGCTTTATGAGCAGAATCCGAAGACAAAAGAAGAATAAAAAAAGAAGAAACAAGAGAACAGATCGAAACAGAAAAAAGAGTCTTTAGCTAGAACGTGGAAAAGTACTTGTTGAAATGAAATTGGCTTGGATAAATTTATGCATAGAGCGATTTACTTTACTACTAAGGCTATTTCTGTATAAATATGAAACAAATCAAACACTTTTCTTTCAGGTAATTGAAATTTTATGTTGCTAACCAAGTAAAATGAAGAAATAGACCCATGAAGTTGTCGAGCATGACGGCACACAGGATTCCAGAGTTCTGCACAGCGATCCTAGGTTGTCGATGCTCTCCTGGTGGTACTCATGAAGTTGAACCTGGCGACGTTCGTGCCAGATCTCAGCAGCTTCTCCAGCATCGCCACCGATCTGGATGCCGGCCCCAGTGCGCACACTATCTTCGTCTTCGGCAACTCCTTCAAGATCCCGTCGATTCTATATTCGCCATCGATCGTACCAAACAAAATCAACCACAATCGCCACAACAAGAAGACATAATCAAGAACCAAAGCCGAGGAAGGACTAATCAAGTTCGATCATTCCACTGAACATACAAAGATCTAGAGATAGAGATCGCTTCAAAGCGAGATCAGAGAGAATCAAGATCAGAGATCAGAGTTCTAGTCTTAAGCTGATCAGTGCTCTTGAAGCAGATATCGAGGTCATCAAAGATGAAAAACGAAAGAAGAATGACGCTTAAATGTCTAAGCTAACTTTCGGTCCTCCGCCTTCCCTTCTCCACCTCCCGAGAACAACGAATTGAATCGCGCTGCGTCGGCGACTTGTGAAAGAAGACGCGCGGCCATAAAAGATATCCGGCTCTTTAAGAGAAACGGTGTCCCGGAAACGAGAAGACAGGATTCCTTCACCTTTTAGACGGCGATTTCAACAATACCTCTATCGGAAACGTTTGATTCGGTGGGACTCTCAGTTGGAGAGATTTCAACTAACAGCAGCCGTCCAATGAGCTCCGTCGTGAGATATACTTTTAGATTATTTTCATATATATATATATGCATATATATTTATATAAATATATATACATATATATATATATATACATACATATCTATACATACATATATATACATACATATATATATATATATATATATATACTTGGGATGGAGAGACAAGGGCCAGGACAGGAAACACGAAGTCTTCCTATGACAGTCAAAGAAACTGGTGCGCCATTCAGGTTCATGACGTAAGATGAAGGGATCCAGGCCACCTGATCTCGTGATGCGCCGTTGATGACATCTACGATCGTATTGTGACGATGGGTCGTCGAGCACCCGCGCGACCCGCGAAGTTGGTGCTTTGTTCGGAGACGCTGGCAATGGCGAGGATTTCTCCTATTTGCTCGCCCGCTCACTCGATCCTTCGTTGCAGGGAGAAAGAGAGAGACAAAAGAGGAAGCTTCTGGTGGAGGAAGGAACAGTGGCCACATCCTGAGCCGGGAGAAGAATCGGCGGGGTAATGAACGCGACCTCACGGAATGGGATTTTTTGAGGACATCTTTCTCGGCGAGGACGAGAGGAAGAAGAAGGAGAATGCGGCGGAGATGGAGGGCGGTCCCTCCGAACCCCGTCTCATCCCCAACCTCTCCTCCATCGCAGATTCCGTCGTCCGCCGTTGCTCCAGGTTAGGACCCCCTCCACCTTTTAACTTTCTCGGTCGATTCTTTCTGTTACTTTTGCCGTCGGTTCCGAATCGTTGGAACTGTTATTGAAGATCTGATAATACTTTCTTTTTCCCCTCTCATTTTCTTTGGGCAAATTCTCGAGCAATTGACGACGATGTGAACGGCATTAATTATTTGGTAGTGTAAGCGGCATTGCCATGTGAAAAGAAGTCTGTTTTCGACAATTGGCATTCACTGCCTGGATAGGTCGAGCAATTTATCATCTCCTGTAATTGTGATCATTACACAGTCTATAGGTTTATTGGAAATAAAGAAATCTTGTTTTAATGATTGCTAGTTGATCTGATGTCAACCCTCCGGATCGCAGGCCAAGCACAATTTTCAGACAAACCTTTTGTTGTTCAATCATGAAAGAGAATAGAAAAAGAGTGCAAAAAAGACAGCTTACAGCTTATGCACTTATGCAATTCCTAAGCACTAAGAATGCTAAACTGTGATCTTAACTTTAGATTCTTTTGGCATACAGAAACCTTTGCGAAAGATAAAATGAACCGAAGATTGTTTATAATTCTCTGTTTGATTCTTTTACAAGAGATTGCAGAACTGTGAACTCTTGTTCCTAAAATAATAGTACACAAACACAGTCATCCTAACATATACCTTTTCATTTACGAGTTCCAATGAAAGTCTAATGCAACTCATTGTTGGCCTTCTTTCGCTAATTTATGTAATGGTTTAGTCCCAACCTCCTTTTTGTTTTTAGCTATCTGACCATTTTATTATTTTTCCTAGAATCTTGTTCCTAAAATAATAGTACACAAACACAGTCATCCTAACATATACCTTTTCATTTATGAGTTCCAATCAAAGTCTAATGCAACTCATTGCTGGCCTTCTTTCGCTAATTTATGTAATGGTTTAGTCCCAACCTCCTTTTTGTTTTTAGCTATCTGACCATTTTATTATTTTTCCTAGAATCTTATTGGTGCTTCTTACTATTTTACTTCATACAAAAAGTTGCTCTGTTGAGGTTTATAGTAATAATTTGCTTTGTCAAGGTATTGAATTTTGTAGACCTATGGAATTCAGGGCATAATTTACAAACATATGTTTCAGGATTCTTCTCTTGTCGATGGAGCAATTGCAGCAGTCTTTTGAGGCTGAGATACCTGATCATTTTAAGCAACCAACATCTTATGCTAGGAACCTTGTGGAATACTGTTCTTACAAAGCTCTTTGTGTGGAAACTCAATGCCCAGATCATCTGGCTGATAAAGAGTTTTCCCTTTTAACTTTTGACATGATGCTTGCCTGGGAGGCACCCGATACAGAGACTGAATCCTTACTCAAAGTGAGACACTTAACCACTTTTACAGCAGGGTATTTGCAAGAACCTCTTGAATTTATCACATGGCTTTCTAATTCCATATTTTACTTCAATTTTTCATGTACAAGTCATGGTAAATATAAAACTATATACATATAAACACTCTCTTCTCTTTGCTTCTTTCTCTCTTCTTGTACTCCTTCCTTTATGTTGTGATTTGTATAACATAAATTCATGGTGGTTGAGATCTATAATTTCTTTTGTTATTGTAAAAGAAATTCATTCACTGTAATAGGCAAATGCTTGCTCTAACCATCCAGAATTTGATGATGACAATGAGGGATCATTATTTTATGCATGTGCAACAAGAATGGCTAGCCAGGTTTGCCATTCCTCTTAAGTTATCCTCTATTTTTTCCACTTACTCCATAAAAGTATCATATCATATCATGTTTGACAGAATGCCTATGGAATATATGTAAACTTAATCTTTGGTGTCTCTCCTGTGTCAGATTGATGGCAAGATGACTGTTGGACTGGAAGCTTTTGCCCGAATAGCTTCTGCTTGTGCTTCTGTAGCAGATCCAATAACCGTTCACAATCTATTTGATGCACTTACCAGCTCCTCAGGTGGTTGCCTCCATTTTCTTATATATGACAAGTACCTCAAAAGCCTTTACAAGTATGCAGTCTCTTCTTTTTTCAAATATTGAATCTGTTGATTCTCTTGTTTGTCAGAGGAACCATACTGGATTTCTTTTTCATGATTCAATATCTTGAATTGATTAAAATTACCTTTGATTCACCAAGTTCTGGGTGCTGTTTCATGATCTTAAGTTTACAATATCGGTTGCTGGCTATTGGTATGAATCTACAATCAGAATCTCACAGTATCTATTTGGAGCTCGATGTTATAAGTAGCTCATCACATTCTCTCATGTCATATGTAGACACACACAGAAACACACAAATGGAGTGAGAGAGAGAATCTTGACAATGAGCGAACAACTGAGCCCTGCAGACTTGGACTTGTACAATCCATTCCAAGATACTGCAACTGGGAAAAGTTCCTTGGAACACGTTGGCTTGTTACTTTCAGTCATGGCAGGCATACTTTACTGTAAAAAGAAAAGACCAGAAAAGGTGTAAGAGGGAAAATGCTTTACTGTGGATAGTTAGTTTTTATTCTGAAAATCTGCAAATATTTTGCATGCGGATGCTGAGTTGCATGCACATTCATGAAGTATACTGCAATCAGACAATAAAGGAAATATCCAATGAAACTGTCAGTTTGTTGGATAAGTCCAATGATGAAAGGAAATCAGCAAAGTAACCACAATAACGAACCCAGTGTTTTGACAATAACAAGATTTTTTATCACCATAGAGCTCCAATCGGAGGTGTGTTGCTAGATAATCAAAAAATTAATTCTTTCTTTCTATTTCTAACAAAATTATTTTTGCAATCCCCATGTTTCTTGTCAATCTCTATTCTATATTTTCTTATCTCATGTTTATCAATGAATTCATAGATTTCCTCTTGATATGTCCCACCATTTCAGTTGATTTTTCTTATTTTAATTGTCACTTGTATTATTGTTGAATTTTCATTAAAATAAGTGTTTCGTAGTCTATCTTTTCTGTTAACATTACATGTCACATCTCAATATCCTTATCTTCGCTGTCTAGCAATGTTTCTCTCTATATCATTAAAAGGAAAAAATGACAAATAAATTATAGAAAATTATATTTTTAGAAATTAGGATTTTGTGATTTCAGAAGAAGCATTTGGTTTTAAGTTTTTAACTATATACAATTAACTACATTTCTCTTTCTTAAAAGAAATTATGCTACTATCCATCTTTCCTCTGCAAAGTAGAGTGTGTATGCTTGTTTATAATGGCTTAACAGTCTCAGCTATAAATATAATTTTCTTTTTAATCCAAGAGGCATTTGACAAAGTACAACACTACAGATAAGCCTGTCTGTTTTATCATCTGTTTGTGACCATATCCTTATTCAATTCCCTTCTTGCTAAATAAGAGGCCCATTATTTAAAAAATTTGTACTTCCTTTACTATAACTTCTAAACGTATTGATCTTTTTTCTCCTCTAAGCCTGCATATTCATGTCTAATTTTTTGTATAACAAAACCGATGATTCTATTTTGAACTTCACGACTGTTACCTGTATATATGAACTCTGACCACTTGCCCTATCTGCATATACAATTTAATAATTGTGAAATAGGAGCAAGGCATCACAAATTGATAAAATCCTATGTGAAAAATTGTGAAATAGGAATGAGATATCACAAGTTTATAGCTTTATAATTATCAATATTTTAAATTTACTCATAATAAAAATTGAAGGAAATTTACATAGATTTATAGTTGTATAATTAATTTTGATGGAAAATAATTCTTTAATGGTAACAGTATTAAGTATTCTGGATATGATATTCGGTCGAAAGACAAGCTTGGTGAATCTGTTATTTATAGAGTTAAATCAAGATGATTTAATTGGAAAGGAGCATCAAGAATTTTGTGTGATTATTTAGGATAATAGAAAAAAATTTTAGATAGCAATTTTATATCCAGTTATGTTTTATTATTTTCACTGTTGGACATTTAAATAGCAAGTTGTATAAGGAGTTAATATTGTATAAATAAGAATTTTAGTATCAAATGCGTATGTAAAACTACTAAAGAAGAAAAATTAAGAAATTTTTACATTTGCAAACAACTAGATGTAGCTCTAGACAGGGATAAAATGAGGGAAAACTATTAAAAAAATCCATGTCCAAGGGAGATGTATCGATGCACCAACTAGACAAAATGAATTAATTATAGATAGTGGTGAGGAGAGGTAAAGGACCAAGAGACCTTTCCTTATCAACCCTAAAAAATGATTTGTTTGTTATTTGTTTGATTATTGATATTGCCCTGGACATAATTTATTAAGAAATATCTATGTAGGTCGCCCCATGTTGTTATAAGATTATTAATTTAGCTATTTTTAAAAAATAAATTCACTTTCTTCATAAGATTATAATAAAGATCAGTTCTTTATTATCTGTAATGCCACAGATATTATAGATGTTGATCATTTTCTAGACCAACCACCTCTTATATAAGTTTTTGGCTTATGCTAGTAAATATTTCTCGAAGTATGCTGAACCTTCACATTAATTATCATATGGCTGATGACTTCTCTAGAAGTTGTGTTTTTGGCTTGATCACATTACTTATGTGACTTCTGTTTATTGTAGGGTGTTCAAATCAATGAAGCATATATCAGGACAACACCGGAATTTAAATTTTAACCTTGCTGATGGAGAAATTATCCTAGAAGTTGATGCTAGATCTATTCTTCAACACAATGGGATATCTACAAGGCCTGGTTAAGCATCTTTTCCTGGTAGTCATTTTTTCTGCAGGATAACTGTTTATCAAAATAAGCTTCAGAAGGATGTTTTTAATGGCAGGAAGGCTGACACTTACCAGCCATGCTCTATATTTTGAAGCATCAGGCATTGGTTCATATGATAAAGCTGTCATATATAACTTGTCCAAGGACTTGAAGCAGGTGGTAAAGCGTGAGTTAACTGGACCATGGGGTGCTCGTCTCTTTGATAAGGCTGTTATGTACAAGTCTGATTCTGTGTAAGTGCAAGTGCCAAATTTTCTTGTTATGGTCTCTTAAATAATTGATAATAACTATAGTTGCCTTGGTAACTCAGAGAATTTAGTCTGCAATCTAAATCATTCTTTTGCAGAGCAGAGCCGATCTACTTAGAGTTCAGTGGCCACTCCCACAGGGACTACTGGTTTGCAATCATTCAGGAAGTCCTCAATGTTAATAAATTCATAAGGAAATACAATCTTAGAAGTTTCCAAAAAGCAGAAGCGCTTTCTAAGGCTGCTTTAGGCATCTTTAGACATCATGCTCTGAAAGAAGCTTTTCATGTCACACCATCGCACTTTAAGAGTATACTTGCTTTTAACTTAGCTGAAAAACTTCCAAAAGGAGACAAAATCTTGGAAGCTTTATATAATCACTTGGAGCTCATGCAGGTTGGATATCAGAACAATGCTGACGTTGTCACTGCATCTGAGGAAAAGCCATTAGCAGGTCCTTTACCAGATTCATTGTATACACTTATAAGAATAGGCTTTCTGTTACCGAAGGAAGATAATCCTGAAGGAAATGATATTTTGGTTCATAATATCCATGTTGGTCAGACATGTCCATTACAGATGGCTGTTAGGGAATCAGTTTGTTACTCTGGCAGAGTTGAAGCAGCACGTGCAACATTATATCAGGTCAAAGTGGAGGATATTGATACAAATTTAGCTGTGATTAAGGTATTCTGTAAGGATAGAGGCAATTTTCTGGCTTCTAAAATGTTCCATATGTATGTCTTAGAAGGAGTATTTCTGTACTCTGAATATCTAGGTCTTTTAAAGAATGCTGCGCACTTCCATAACCATATTTATTCCAGCTTAGACTTCTATATTCATTTAGCTTATCCTTGAAAATGAAATAGAACGAAGCCATTTGGAATCTTGTAGGTGATCTTAGAGGCAAAAGAAATCCTGTATGTGAATTATATTTAGACTACTAATTCTTGACATGGAAGTTCCTTTACTGCTTAGGTATTAGATTCTGCATGTGGATAAAAACAATTTATTTCTTATCATGAGATATTTCTCTTTTACAGTATGTTTGTAATTCTTTACCACCAAAATAGTGCTAGAAAGACAATTATTTCGTGAAACATCGATTTTTTCCTGAGCCAAAGCAAGGTTTCTGTATTCTTGTGGGAATTTAACTTAATGTTTAGCTCAACTATGATACACTGCAGCTTTTATGGTGCTTGTACTAGCACTCTGCTGCGGCCACCTCGTTATATCAGGCTTCTTTTATTCGCTCTCTTGGTGTCTCATGACCATTTAAATTCGACCAAGACACCCTTGGAATAATTGTCCTTTCCAACTCTCATTAAAGAAATAATTGAGACACTTTCATACAAGGTATGCAATTTCTTATCGTACCGGAGTTTCGACGTTCGCTCGGTACGGTATGATACTATATACCGAGCGGTATATCGTTTGGTATATATATATATATATATAACATTTTTATAAAAGGCAACATGCCTTTTCCTTCTCCCACACGGGGCGACGTCGCCTCGTTTATATATATATATATATATATATATTTATTTATTTATTTCCGTCCGATAATGGACGGTCCTTGTACCGATAAATTGATGGACCGGTACGTACCGTCCATACCGGACAGCATTATTCGAAATTTCATACCTTTTTCATATATGTTCATCAAGATGTGATAACGGAAGCAAAATATTAAAATGCTAAGTTAATCATGTGTGTTTTCGATTTTTTTTTCTCAGGAGCATATACTGCTCTGACTTTTTTGGAATTTTGTCATGCTTAGTGAATTTTTAGTACTTTTAAATCTGCCACATTTTTTCATATCAGAAGATCAAATTGCTTGTAGCAATCATGGTTCAAATTTATTGTAAAAAGTAACTTTTAGATAACTTTGGACGAATTTTCACTTCTATAAAACTAACAGGGTTTAGGCTACTAGTATCCTTCTTTCTGTAGATATCCTTCTTTCTGTTCGATTTTTGAATCCTGAGAATTGCTTTCCTAAGTATCTGATGTGGTTTTTACTATGGTTGGATAATTTTATGGTCTTGAATTTAAAAGGTTGGGACCAATTATAGAATACTAAACATACATGGTAACAAGTTAATATTTGCCAATGATCTTTTATTGCAGGATTTACTCTTTCCTTTGTCTCAATTGGGCAAACTACTCAGTCATTTAGCTTCATGGGAAGATCCTTTCAAGTCAAAAGTCTTTCTGTTTTTGATCCTGTATCTCCTTTACAGGTATTGCTTCATTTTTTCTGAAAACTTACTATGTCATCATATAGATACAAATGGAGCATATTTATTTTAATTTTCTATTTTGTCATTCTTCCATGTAGCAAATGTTATGAAGAATTAAATGATCTAGATTATTGTTGCTTGCCTTTTCTTGCAAATATTTTGGACAGATTTTCTTCCATGTAGTAAAGTGTTTTGCCAGAGAGTATGTGATATCTATATCTTTGTTCTGATAGTTTGGGATAAGAACAGGTGATCAATGATCCAAATCAGAAGCACAAAGGATTTCCTGAGTAAGGAGACAAATATCATGTTGTTCCTTTCATACCAGAACTAACATATTAGCTCTTCTGGCTTCTATTAGTATTTCTCAGAAATAGTAGTTCTTCTAAGTTACTAATCTTCAAAATTAATTACTTGATGGAATTTGAATTACAACAAGTCTTTACTCCGCTAATTCCAGAAATCTACCATGAACTCACTTTTATTTGGAAAATAATGCTGAGAGAATGAGCTGATTTTGACTAGGACTGTATAATAAAATCCATGCATTCGTCTCCATTAAAATTTTCACTAAGAACAGAAGAAATGGTTGAGAAAAATAGTTATCCTGCTTCTGTGAAATATGCTTGTGAAACTTATACCAGGAGAATGTGGATCATCTTGTTACCTTTGTACTTATAATTACACAGCTTCACTATCCATTTATCTTAAAATCTGAACTTTGGGCACATGTATTCTTTCTAGCTTGGTTTTATGTCTACCCTTGCTCTACTGGCAAGAGTAGCCTTGCTGTGTTGGTAAATCTCAGAGTTGCTCTGTTGGTTTTATTCAGTTTAATTACTGCACAAATATAACTATACAAATTCTTTCCTTTTTGCTTTACTTCCTTTCCTGAACCGATGCTTCTGACTGTGATCCTAGGGGTTGGGTTTGGTACATCTTGCCATGTGCTTTGGTATCTGCTGCTGTTTGCATGTTCTGGCATAAGCATCATGGCAGTGGAAAACCAATTAAAGCCTTCCAGGTTACACCTCCGCCGAATAGGAATCCTGTTGAGCTGCTCTTGATGTTACAAGATGGTGTTTCTCAACTTCAAACAAACGTCCAGGGAGGAACTATTGCTCTTCTTAAGCTAAGAGCTCTTCTTATAGCAGCATTTCCTCAGGTTTGTTTCCATAAATTGGATCAGACTAGAATTATTACTTTTACTATATGCTATTAAGATCATTTCATTGTTAAATTTTCTACTAACTGGACCTGCTGTGGATGTATTGTGTAAAATAGAGTACCCATTGCAGTGGTATGCAATTACTTCAGATCATGTCATTGTTAAATTTTCTTGTTGCTTCAGATCTTTCTTCTGTTGTTTCTTGATCAAACAATATTATCCATCTTAGACATGTATCTAAGATAGATCTAATCATGGTGGCTTGTCTATGGTACAAATATCTGCTTGTGTACCAAAATTTAGTACGTGGATAGTTTTAACCTTGTGTGGGTGCTCAACTTGTTTAAGTTAGCATCAAGTGTTAAAAGTCCCTTGAAAAAATTGCAAATTGCATTCTAAGCATCCTTTTCTATCATAGGCTGAATTCTACCAAAGGTTATAGTGGAATCCCTGGTAGAATCCTTTCGATAAGATAACACAACTCTCCGTTAGGCTAAAATTGGCATGATGAAAATCATACAAAAAAAAAAACCCAGAGTCATTAGTTGTAAAATGACTCAAAACAGTTCATAGTTAACCTAAAACAATTCACGTCATCAAATCATTGTTGAATAAACCCAATTGTTTTTCGATCTAACCTCTTCCACTCATCATTTATCATAGTTGTGGGTTTTGCACTATCGCCCTGTAAAGGTCCATACAAATCTTTGCAATACAAAATATCTTTCATTCTTAGTTTCCATATCATCCAATTGTTTCCATTTAAACTAATCATGTAAGAAACATTACTGGCCTCCATGTTCAAACAATATTATTCATCGTAGACATGTATCTAGGATAGATCTAATCATGGTGGCTTGTCTATGATACAAAAATCTGCCTATGTACCAAAATTTAGTACGCGGATAGTTTTAACCTTATGTGGGTGCTCAACTTGTTTAAGTTAGCATCAAGTGCTAAAAGTCCCTTGAAATCATTGCAAATTACATTCTAAGCATCCTTTTCTATCCGAGTCTGAATTATGCGGAAGGTTATAGTGGAGTCCCTGGTAGAATCCTTTCGATAAGATAACACAACTCTCCGTTAGGCTAAAATTAGCATGATGAAAATTGTACAAAAAAAAACTCAGAGTCATTGGTTGTAAAATGACTCAAAACAGTTCATAGTTAAGCTAAAACAATTCACATCATCCGCCAAGCGAAGATGTTTCTAGTATTATTGTGGCATGGGAGCAGGGTAGGTAAACAAATTATAGTTGGAGCTCCTCATCTTGAAGTGAAGATATTGCTTTTTCGGAGTCATATGACTGATAACTTTATGTCATGCTTCTTCCTTTTTTTTCTTTTTGTCTTAATGTGACTGAACCTTTGACTTTGAGATTTTTTGGATTTCAGACAACAAACAAAGTGGCTATTACCTTGGTCATCGTGGCAATAGCAGTCAGCCTGGTGCCTTTCAGACACCTGCTAGTTTTAGTGCTATTGGAGATATACACAAGACACATGCCGCTGAGGAAAGAGAGCAGTGAGAAGTTGGTAAGGAGGATCAAGGAGTGGTGGAGCCGCATTCCTGCCGCCCCTATTCAGATCGGTGCACACGAAGAGCACAATAATTCATGATGATATAGCATAAACCATTACAATTTTGGCGATCACATATGTAAATGCATTATTATTCCACAGGGGAGTTTTGTTTTGGTTGCTTCTGTTACCTGAATCTGGTCCCTTCTTGGTCTATGTGGCAAATCCTATCTTCAGCAAATGGAGAAGAGACTGCTGCCAGAGGCAGAGGCAGTGGCAGTGGCAGTGGCAATGCCAGTGTACATTGGTTTAACTTGTATCCTACAATGTAATCCTTTCCCTGAAATTTGATAAATGGATACGAGTGACTTGAAGAGAAAATTCATAATCCTTCATTCCGTCTACAGAACAGATGTACAGATGTGCTTCTGCCATAATAAACACAGAGTTAAGCTGCACAAGACATCTCTCTTACAGTGTTTTAATCTTTTACTTGCGTATCTTGGTCTTGACAAAAGAACAACAGCTGCTTCACGTTAAAAGGATGTCGTAGTTCAACATAAAAGAACAACAGCTGCTGACTCGAGATATCTTAATACAAACAAACATTTGATCTTTGGCAGAACTCTTCATCTGCATCACAAAGTCTCTTCAGAGAAGTTTTCATCTCTTCACCAATCAGAATTGGACAAGTGCTTTGCATGTACTTCAGGATCACTTCACGGCAACGAGGTCATGGAAAGCAGCCGCCTACGTTACAAGCAATTGACAATTCCTCCATTTATTCACGTCACTAAACTCCCAGTCAAATGATACATATTGAATACAAACAGCAAAAGAAGCTTCCATTTATTGCGGTGATGGTGGAAAGCCTTAAAAGTCTGAATGATCCACCAACCTCAATCTATTTTGTATCAGGCACACCGAAACCTTCACCAAAGTCAAGATTGCATGCCCACAAAGCCCCCCCGCACCATCCGATACCATCCTTAAAAGCCAATGGAGCAAATCTGAAGCGGAGGCTGCAAGAGCATAGCTTGAAAGTCCCGAACATGGCGGAGCAGCACAGAGTCCACCCGGTGGACGTCGAGTCTCCACCGCCGTCGGCACCGGAGGCTCCCCCGAGCTTACTACAACCGGAGAAGGCCGGCGCCACCGCACCGGCCGCCCATTCGAGGCCTCCAGGAAAGAGAAGGAGCCGCTGCTGCACGTGTTTGTGCTGGTCTCTCCTCGCCATCGTCATCCTCATCGTCGTCATCGCCGTCGCCGCCGGCGTCCTCTACCTCGTCTTCCGCCCCAAGATCCCGAAGTACTCCGTGGACCGCCTCGCCGTCTCGAGCTTCACGGTCGACGACAACGCGACCGTCGCCGTCACGTTCAACGTGACGGTCACGGCGAGGAACCCCAACAGGAGAATCGGCATCTACTACCAGGGCGGGAGCGACCTGAGCGCGTGGTACACCGACGAGCGGCTCTGCACCGGGAGCTTCCCAGCGTTCTACCAGGGCCACAGAAACACGACGGTGCTGCACGTGTTGCTCACCGGAGAAGCAAAGATCGGGAGCGAGTTGCTAACGGAGCTGCAGCAGCAGCAGCAGACCGGGACGATACCGTTGGCCGTCCGGGGAGTCGTGCCGGTGAGAGTGAAGCTTGGGAAGCTGAAGCTGTGGAAGGTGAGGTTCAAAGTGAGGTGCAGTCTAGTGGTGAACAGCCTCAGCGCCAGCGGCGATGTCAGCATCCGATCCAGCAGCTGCAAGTTCAAGCTGAAGCTCTGATTCTTATTTCTTGTTCGGTTGGAGCTCCGAGGATTCCTCGACGGTTTGGGCTTTTGATTCTTTCTCTCTCTTGCTTCGCTTCTGTCCTCATCATATGAAATAAGAGATGTGGAGGTGGTAGCTTCATTGCATGAACTTCATGTATTCTTCCCGTGAATTGCACGGATATGCTTTGCTTGTGCATGGATATGCTTTGCTTGTAGATTGATATGCAGCAAGGAATCACACCTTTGCCTGCAAACAGGCAAAAGTCCAGTCGTCGCTTCTATTTAAGTAAGAAGAGGTGACGCCATTTCCTCCATCATCGTCTCAAGAAAATGGCGATGTTCCTTGAGTTCTTTGTTCCAAGGTACCTTGGAAAACTAGCAGAGTTCGTCGAGGGAGAGGCATGCAAGGTGCTTGGTGCAAAGAAGGAGATCAACAAGTTTCAGAGTCGGTTGGCGACGATCCAACTTTATCTCAAGGATGCAGAGAAGAAGAGGCATGAAGATGCAACCGTCAAAAGTTGGGTGATGCGTATGAAGGACGTCATGTACGACGCTGATGACGTGATTGATCTGTGCATGTTCGAAGGTGGAAAATTATTGGAGGCTCGGACATCAGCTTCTTCTTTAGGTGTATGCTTGCCTTTTCATTTGCTTTCTTCTTGCTTTACATGTATCAGATATCGTCATCAAGTAAGCAGTAGAATCAAAGAACTTAATGACAGGTTTAGACAAATTGCAGAGGATAGTTCGATAGTAGCTACTCTAGTGAAGTCAGACCAAGGTTCCTCTTCCCAATCCCAAGATAACATGCTAAGGTCTCGCGAGACACATTCGCTGGAGGTTAAGTCGGACATTGTAGGAACACAAATCGAAGATGCAACCCAAAATATAATTAATAAGATAATGCAGAATGACAAATCTAAGTGTCAGATCTTTGGAATCGTTGGGATGGGTGGGATCGGGAAGACCACACTAGCACGTAAGATATTCAACGATGAAAGGATCAAAAACAAGTTTCCAAAACGGATATGGTTGTATGTTTCTAAGAATTATGCAGAGATTGATTTACTAAACAAGATTATTAGGAGTGCCGGAGGAAATGTTATAGGAGGTGAAAGCACAGAACAACTCGTAGAACAACTTGTGTCTCTCGTTTCACAAGATTTCTTTGTGGTATTGGATGATGTATGGGGCACAGATGTATGGGAGAAATTACTCAGGGATCCTATGATGAGTGGAGTAGCTAGCAGTAGGATCGTAGTTACTAGTAGATACGAAGACGTGGTCAAAAGAATAGGAAGTAGACATATCCACCATGTCGACAGAATGGATACCGAGAGTGGCTGGGCATTGCTCTGTAAAATAGTTTTTCGAGAAGAGGAGGATCCTGAGATTGGGAGGTTAAAAGAAATAGGAAAGAAAATTGTCGAAAAATGTGATGGGCTTCCCCTTGCCATCAAGGCCGTGGGAGGAGTTTTAAGATCCAAGGAAACAAGTCAGGCAGAGTGGAAGAAAGTTGTTGAAAGTGATTGGTGGCATATGAAACAGATGGAAGAAGAAGTACCGAGGGCCTTATACTTAAGCTACGAGGATTTACCATATCATCTCAAACCCTGTTTTCTTTATTGTGCTCTTTACCCCTCAGATAATTCCCGACTACTTGCTCTACTTTGGGTGGCCGAAGGCTTTATAGCTGAACAAGGAGAGAGGTTAATAGAAGATATAGCTCTTGACTGCTATAGGGAGCTAATTCAGAGGAATCTTTTGCAACCAGATCCTTATTCTGTGGACCAGGATATCTTCGTCATGCATGATCTTCTGCGATCTCTTGGTAAAAGTTTGGTAGAAGGAGAAAGCATTTGCATGATAGATGACAAAACGTCGAAAATGAATTCCTCGATGATGAAGATTCGCCGTTTGTCAATGTCAACTACGAGGGAAATATTAACACTCCCCGGTGAAGTCATGAAACAGAGTGATCGTTTGAGAACGTTGATTCTCTTCGACAGCCACCAAACAAAGACCGTCGAGGATGATGTGCTCAAAAGATTAAGACATCTACGAGTCCTGGACTTGGCCTACACATCCATCGAGACAATTCCCGATACCATCGGAAAATTGATACATCTGCGATACCTATGCCTTGCATATACAAAGATCCATGAGATACCAAAAACCGTAGGGCGCCTCGCAAACCTGCAAATGCTGATGGTGGAGGGGTGCCAACAATTGCATGTACTACCCAAGGCCATCATCCGATTGCATAACCTACGATGTCTTGCTCTTACTGGTAGTCCACTGACTCACATACCCAAAGGAATAGGGAGATTGAAGAATCTTAACAGTATCATGGGATTTGTGGTTGGCTATGATGAGTCGAGGAGCAAGCCGGATGAGGAATGGTGTGACCTAGAGGAGCTGAAATCCCTATCCAAGATGAGACATTTAAGCATTTATCGGTTGCAGAGGGCAACAATAAACGGAGTCTCCGTGCTCACAAGCATGTCCATGCTTAGGGAACTGACATTAGGATGGACGATGTCCGTAGATCCGTGCAGCAGCGAAGATCAGATCCAAAGAGCGGAGAAGATATTCGACCAGCTCTCTCCTCCATCAAGCCTGCAAAAGCTGTGGATCAAAGGGTTTCCTGGTCGACGATTTCCGAGCTGGATGATGTCAAAGACGACTCCCACGGGTGATTCTTTGCCCAACCTGAAATTCTTATCTATTTGGGATCTTCCATCATGGGTGGAGCTCCCTCCAGTGAGCCGATTCCCCCAGCTCAAATGGTTTGATGTTAACCGAGCGAAAGCAATCAAAACTATCGGCCCTGAATTCCTCGGTCTGGGAGACGCAGGAGGAGAACCCACGTGTCGCAAGCTTGAACATACGAAATTCGAAGACATGCCCAACTGGGAAGAATGGGTGGAGAAGAAGGTCGATGGTGATGATGGCGGACGAGCCCTGAGGCTGAGGCCACTTTCTAATCTAAAATCTTGTCGGCTTCAAAACTGTCCCAAGCTGAGAGCTCTTCCGGATGTCCTACGCCATGCTCCCAACTTGGAAAGACTCGTCATCTGGAACAATCATTTCATGAGGGAAATTGATGATCTCCCATTCTTGGCGGATAAGCTAATAGTCGTACAAATGGAGATGCTGCAAAGGATATCCAACCTCCCATCGGTGAAGGAGTTGAATATTGTTCTCTGCCCACGATTGGAGTTCGTGGAGAATCTGAACATGCTGCAACACCTGCGTCTCGAATGTCCACCGGAAGCAGAGCAGCTTCCCATGTGGCTTGCGGACCTGATCGAGCAACATCGAACTGCACCTTCCGCTCGCCGGAGCTTCAAAATATTTGAGCTCGACTGTGGCTTGCCGCTACTCAGCAGCTGCCTCAAGGGGGAGCCAAATTGGCACATCATTCAACAGATTCCGGAGGTCAGAATTCAAACCTATGACGAGAGGAATTTCTTATATGCAAAGGATCATGACATCTATGAAACAAATGTGGGTTCAGAATGAGCAGATTCAGCTTCCTCGATCCTAAGTTTGTGTGCCTCTCTTTCTCCCTTCGGTTGCTTGTAGCTGCTGCATATTATGCCGTGGTCTTCGTACCCACTCTCTCCTTCCTTGCAGGATCAATCAATAATTTGTGGTGGGCGTTTTATCAATAATTTTTAGGGGAGAGTGATCGAGTTTGAATGCTTCCTTCTATCATATTCGGCAGTTGTTATCTATGTGCAATCTTATTTCAATTCGAGAACAATTTTTTTTTTCTTGCATTATTGTTATAATTATGAAAACTATATGATATTCATGATGTAATTACGAAAACAACAGTGTGATGGATTATAAATGTGCCGCTCGCCTCCTGCCGCAGCCGCCCGTTGCAACCATCTGCGCTCGCTTTCGTTGCCGCCCGAGTTCCTCACTGCAGCATTCACTGCTGCGTGCGCTTAGTCGAGCATGAATTATCAACTTAGTGTAAGGTGACGGCTATTATGCTCTCGTACCATTCAGTTCACCTACCATGGTCGTTGTTAATGAGATCACCATCATGATGGGAAGTATCACACCAATCATGATATAACATCATTCTTACTATTAATTACTATCATGCTACGTGCAACTCCAAAGATTATAAATGTCGACTGACTTTTAACGATCAATAGTCTAAATCATAAATTTAATGTGTTAGGCTAAACCTACAAATTAAAGTTGAAGTGGGTTGTAGACATTAAGCTATTTGCACAAGGGCTGCAGACATATGGAAAACACATCAATTGGTCCAACCTGTGTGATAATAGTCAGAGATCTTCCTTGATAACAATCTTAACGACACTCAAGATCTTTTCAACTATATGAGAAAATATCATGAATTTGTTGAGGAAAATCTATTGTGAAAAATTCTCCTTCTAACATATATAAATATGGTGTATTGTTTCAAATTCAATGATCATCTTTCTTAATATTTTATTTCTAACATGTTATTAGAGCATTTCTTCCTGGACAACTCTCTCCTGTGGATGTAGGCAGCTCCGTCGAAGCCTTCTTCCACGAAGAGTCCACTGCTTAGCTGGGTGTCGGTGTGGAAGCCAGAAGGACGACAGGTGCTTCCTCCGCTTCATCTTCTTCCCCCTTCTAGCCCTTCTACATGATCTTCCCTTCCTCTGCTGCATCTTCCTCCCCTTCCGGCCCTTCTTGTTAGTTTAGTAAGTCCCACATCGAGAAAATCAAGCTTGTTATTTCCTATTGCAACTATAAATAAGGGCTTGAGTTTTGAAGCTAGATGCACCACAAGAAAAACCTAATTGTTTACTTTGGGTTTTAAATCCACACTTAGTTAAAATAGTTTGGGCTTTTCTTGTTTAGTAGTTTCAAGTATTTGTAATTGTCCCTTTTATAGTAGAGTTTTGCTCCTCCTCCGTCCACGCTCCTCCGTCCGTGGACGTAGGTCAATTGAATGAACCACGTAAATCTGGTGTCCTTGTCTCTTTTATTTTTCTACTTTATTTTCTTTATTGGGTTGCCAAATTACCCTTTAGTAAATTTCATGGGGCCAGCTCTAACAAACTAGTATCAGAGCCTGGTTTTGGGATCTTTTGACAACGATGACAATAACAAAAATCATTATCAAGAAATTTGACATAAATGTCAACTTCGACATGTGGCAGCTCAAGATAGAGGCCATTCTGGTTCAAGACGGAGTTGATTTGGCACTATAGGGAGTTGAGAACATTCCAGATGATACGTCAAAGGAAGTTCTTGCGGGTATGGATAAGAAATCCTGATCAAGCATTATTCTAATTGTTGAATCTCATATTTTGATGATGAAACAAATTGATATGTGTTTATGATTTTAATCTACGTTTTGAGTGACGCAGGATGCTTCGATCAAGATGAGACAATTAAAGCAAGAAGAATCATATCGTGCCGGGGGAAAACATGTCAGAAGATTGGACGTCGGACCAGTGGATCGGTTAACGTATCGACAGAAGGCTTCGGGTCATGGATTCGGGCATCAGGCCAAGAAGAGTGGATATTGCGCTAAGGATATCGGAGTTGCGGAGTCAACTGGTCGATTGGGCAATAGGCCGCAAGAGAGGACGATGCACCTAAGAATCCGACGAAGCGTCGAGGGACCAATGACATGCCGGACAACTTGATTAATGCTTAGTATTAATTGCCTAGATCGAAGTATGTTTTTACATGTGTAGGATTAACTACGATAGCAAGGCATGAAGCAAAATGAAGTCTCGGAGTCAAGGACGTGACTTTGTTGGGAGTTAGAGAGTTCGTCGGAAGTTCTGGAGGAACTAGCCAAGAAGTCTCAGAGCTTGCTAGAGAAGCTCATCGGAACTCACCAAGACAATCGTCGTGAAGCCCAAGAGCTTACCGGGAGTCCGCCGGAACATTACTAAGAGATCGTTGGAAGTTTACCGGAAGATCACCGGAAACTCGCCGGAAGAATAGACATAGGGACTTGTTTAGCTTAGCAAATGTCTTAGGATTTCGTAGTTAATACGTAATTGGGCATGGATTTGGGTCAACCCAATTAGGGGCCAACTAGGCCGATGTAATAACTATGTTGGGCCCAATAAGAAGCCCAAACAATGCCCCAAGAAGTCTCACCGTCATGGCACAGTCTTCGAGACTATGTCAGGCGGTAGTATCGTCAGTCTGGGCGGTTGTACCGCCCATGGCAGGGTGTCAGGCAGTGGTACCGCTAGTCTGGGTGGTGGTACCGCCCAACACTACCCCCTAGGCGATGGTACCACCAGAGCTGGGCGGTGCTACCGCCTAGGGCAGTGTCAGCGTCAGACTGACATTGGGCGGTGGTACCGCCCAACGCAGGCGGTGGTACTGCTCGTGCCCGGGGAATCTGGGATGGGAAAGTTTTAGGCTCCAAGTTTGAATCAAATTGAAGCCTATAAATATCCCTCTTGTCCCTAGTTAAAGCACACAAGTATTGAGAGTAAAAAAGTATAGAAACGCTACTGCGATCTTATGTGAGCTCCTCTCAAAGTTTTAAGTGTCAGAATAGATTTATAGAGGAGTGAGTGGGGGTGTAAGGGTTATCTCCTAAACCCGGTAAAAGGAGAATTGAGTTGTAAAAGGTGATTGGCCTTCGCCTATTGAAGGAAGGCCTCTAGTGGATGCTGGTGACCTCGTCGTCGGAGGAAACCGAAAGTGGATGTAAGTCACGTTGATCGAATCACTCTAAAATCTGGTTTGCATTTATATTTGTGTTATTTATCTTTACTGTAAACCTCTTTAATCGCTTACTACTTTCAATACATTTACAAACGGGTTTCAAGTTAATAAGATCTTTATGAAAAGGTTTTCGTCAGAAACGGTTTTTATTAAACGAAGTTTTAATCGAGACATAATCTTTCCGATGCACTAATTCCACCCCCCCCCCCCCTCTTAGTGCCGACCCCGGTCCTAACAATTGGTATTAGAGCCACGTTTTTCTAATTTGGTTTAACACCCAAATAGAAATGACTTTTTTCGGCTTTCAAGAGGGTCACTCTCTCATTCGTCCTTCCTTTTTCAATGGGACGAACTACACTTATTGGAAAACTCGAATGAGAGTTTTTTTGCTTTCTTTGGATTTGAATTTATGGCACATTGTCGAATATGGTTTTAAAAGGTCTTCTCTTCTATTGAAAGATTGGAATGATTTGGAGAAGAAGACGTTTTCGTTAAATGCTAAGGCTATGAATGCCTTATTTTGTGCCTTAGATAAAACAGAGTTTAATCGGGTTTCTTTGTGTGAAACAACCTTCGATATTTGGCGCACTCTTCAAATCACTCATGAAGGGACTAACAAAGTTAAAGATTCAAAAATTAATTTTTTAATGCATGATTTTGAGATATTTCGTATGGAACCAAGAGAGACTATTGGAGACATGCACACCCGTTTTACGGATGTCGTCAATAGTCTAAAAGCTCTTGGTAAAACTTTTTTGAATTTTGAACTTGTTAGTAAAGTTTTACGCTCACTTTATAAAACTTGAGATTCAAAAGTAACAGCTTTACAAGAATCAAAAGATTTGAACCATTTTCCTCTCGAAGAACTTATCGGGTCTTTAATGATCTATGAAATGACGTGCAATATACATAAAGAACTTGAAAATCACCTTTCAAAGAATAGGAAGGATTTCGAACCTAGAACATTTGAAAACCACTCGAGCATAAGCTCAAGTGATGGTAAACATGAACAACTCACTAAGAAATTTAAAAAATTCATGAAACAAGAATTAAAGAACAAAAACAAAAAGAACGCAACTACTTGCTTTGAATGCAAGAAGAAGAATACAAAGTGGGATGAATCGAGCTCCTCCGAATATGAGGAGAAAATCAACAAAGGCGATGTGGCAAACTATGCCTTAACGACCTTCGACGTTGAGGTAATAAAAAAGCCTTTAGTTTATTTTAAAATTACATAATGCTTCTCATGACTTATTTTTAATTTAGTTTAAGAAAATTAAATATTTTTATTTAATTACATGTTTAGTGAAAATGCAAAAATAAAATTAAATCATGCTTACCTTTCCAATGATTTTACAAATAATCATGAAAAATATATATTTTATATTAAACAAATAAAATGATTTTGATTGAAAATATGAAATCATGCTTGATGACATAATGATGTTTTGAAACCATGATTGATGAATATGCTTTATGTTTAATGGTTTCTTTGGCCTATATGCCTTATCATGATGAATATTTTGAAAATAAATGTGTGTTCATGTTGATTTCCATATTATTTCTCGATTTTTATTAAATGAAATCATATTTGATTTGAAGTAATGCATGATGATTTTTGTCATTATCGAACCTTGCGATCTTTTGAAAGATCTTTTTTGGCATTAATGAATAATGCATGGATTTGGCATAAAAGAAAAGAATAAGCATGTATGAAATCAATCAATGAGTTGAAACAAAAGGAGGAAAGAATTTTTCTTGAAATTTTTTTTTTCTCTATCTTATCGATTTTTCACTAAAAGACCGATAAAATTATTTATGCCATTTTGAAGCTCTTGAAAGTAATGTTGAGATTTTGATGATTTTGATGATTTGAATTTAATGGTTTTTATCGAAATCATGATTTCTCATGAGTTATAACTTGAAATCATTTATGAATCAAGATCTCCTACTATGTGTTCTTGTATCTTCTTATTAAAATTTATCGAAATGAATCATGATTTTTTAGAATTATAATTTTTATGATTCATAAAGAATTGAGAGATTATACATGAATC